TTGGGTATTGTTTCATTTCATTTTCTCTATCAAAGAGTATAATAGTTTTTGTTGATAAGGTAAGTAAAATCTCCCTATGATGTTAAAATTACTATACTAAATAGTTGATAATGTGGGTACTCCATGCATAGTCTCTATTTCAGAAATCAAGGTCGACCTATACAAATTTTACCACRAAAATGGTAATAATTATTTTAGTTACAACTTTAGTGTCTACCACTAAAGCACTATTGGTTATAAATATGAAATTCTATTGCAATAATTCATAATTCAATAATTCATTACAAACACATGATTTGCCAAATAAATAGATGAGAAATTTAATAGAGGATAAAAGAGGAAAAGGTTCCATGCAAGACAGTGGCGTATATACTCAAACTGAAATATTAAAAACTGCATCCTGTTACATTCATGCCCTAAAGAATTTTGAAGTTTTCTTACATTTCACAGGTACAGTAGTTGACAAATTAAATAAGCAGCCCTGTTGTATAACAGTTAGACAATCACTCATAATATATTGTAATTACACACAACTAGGGAAATAAGGAGCTAAAACAGACAAGTTAAAAAGAGAGTTCTTGTACATTTGATCATATCATTGCATGGAATTTGTGCAATTTGRTAGGAGTAAGAGACATTGCTATTATTAAGAAAGAAGCCAAACAATACACTAGCTAATAAAACGTTGTAGCACATACTACAGACTGTTTTATRTTGTGACATGAAACTGAATGGAGGTGAAACATGAAACATCTGCACACATGTTGACAAGTGCAAGAGATACAAATCAGAAATTAAGAAATGCTTTTATGATTAGGAATGTCAYAAAATTATAATTATTACTGAAGGCAAGCCCAGTCTGGGCAATCGTTTGGCTTTTGTCTTCGAGAAGGATGTCCATTCCGCCTGGGAATAACTCTCCTTTTAACTAAATCAGGCAAAGAATCCTTATGRTGTTTGTCAAGAGACTTCTTTGCCTTTTTTAGTTCCTGACTTTCCCAGTTTAGAGGTTTAACAATATATGCCACTGTCTTAAATGGTTCCTCTTCCTCTACCTCACTTTCTTCACTCGAAATATAGTCAGGGTGGAGGCAACTGGCTATTTTTGCCTTCTTCTCATTACTCCACTTCTTAGAGTCAAGGCTTTTAAGTCTTCTTCCCAGCTTCTATGAAAATAAAAACAAGGAAAACAAAAACCCAGATCAATACAAAATCGTTTATTATTTGATGAATCATTACTTGTGACATGGAAAAATGGACATACCTTTCTTATCCAAGGTTGAGGACACAGGCATCATACATTTAATATTTTTTAGGCCAAATTGGATAAGACATTATATTTATCCAAAAGTTTTTGGTTTTATTTAGCCATTTTGATTTGGCCAAACCCCCAAACTAATATATATCTACAACACAGATAAAAAATAATCACCCTAGGGTTCAGTCCATATGATTGCAAATCTAATAYTAAGATATATGTAGGGATGCATTTATCTACCTCTTTCTTGCGATTCTGCCTTCTGCATGATCGAACATGCTCCTGGTTGTTACCCTTGGCCTTTCTTTTCGCACTTGCTCTCAATGATCGCATGTATGTTTTTAAAGCAACTAGAAAAAAAATAGCATATATAGTATTAGTATTAGTTGTCATTCAATTTTAATAGTACAATTTTATAAAAAAACCCATCAATGCTCAGGGATTGCTTTGATCATGTTAATGGCAGTCCTATCCAATGACTTTTAATTACTTATTCATCTATTATGATCAATTAAGGCAGGACAATTCTAATTATGAAATTTGGGGAGGAAGGCACAAATTGCATTAAAAATAATTTTTGAAAACCCTATGCCACATCTGCAACATACTAATCATTTTAAGCCAATCAAAGTAAAGATATTCAATTCATGTTCCATAAAATTACATTTATCTTACCTTTCATCTGTAACACTGTCCAAGGACACTTTCCTTCCCCTCCATAAGAATGGTAAAGCTCATCCTTCACCTGATTGAATATGACTAAATTGTGATCAGAGTCTTGGCTAAAATTTAAAAAAAATAAAATAAAATGAAAAACACAGAAGATTCGTTCCAATCAATTTAAAAAAACATTACTACTTATTTTTAACATCAGTGTCAATAGGTCGGGGAATAGCCTGAATGCAAAATAAGTGAATTTACCTTTCCTCCAAGTTTAGAGATAGGTTTTCGGGATCTGCTTTTGCCATCTTTTTTATTTGTTGTCGAAAGTCATTCTGCAGCAACGTGAAAAATGAATTAATTATTGATCAAGCTAGTCTCGTGGTATTTTAGGCGGGAAAATTCACCAACGGTTAGAATATAATTTTTAATACAAAGAGCGGGTTTGCTTGTTGATAAATTCTTTCTTACTACTATATATCAGTTATCAAATTTATTTCGCAGTAAATGCGCTTAAGGATGAATAATGATTATAATAACATTAGCAGGTTAAATAAAGCAAGCTGGAGGATCATCRAAGAACATTGTGTAAATTTGAATTTCAAATTATCTACATTCAGTTTTGGCGCGTGAATGGTTAATTCTAAGATCTCTTCGAGGATTTTGTATGAATCAAGGAAAAATGAACATCAACAGGGAATTACAGCTTAATTAGGTTTTCGGAGTGCCTTTTCTCTTTTCCTAAGTACTTTTGGATTAAAAATAATTGCAGTAAGCATGCCGGACAATGAAGTCACTAGAGCGCACGATGCAGAGGTCACCAGGGAGTTTAATTTTTAAAAAGATTTTTGTGTCTGTTGTTTTAAATATTAAAGATCGAAAAACTTTTAATACTTACGCTACACATCTTAGGGACTTTTGTAGGCCCTCCAATTTGGCGAACTCTTCTCGCAGCCGTCGCATTTATCGAACTTACTGTCGTCGCTAGCCCATCGACTTTCTTAGCTATGTTCTCTAGAACATCTTTCTCCGTACTCTTATCCTTGTGGATCTCCTCTCTCAAGAACTTCGATTGGTTCACAACATCTTGAAGTAGGACAACGTAGTGATCGCTTAGAGAAATATCGGCCAYTATTACACTTAACTCGTAATGTTAACTAACTAGCTTTTGAGATCAATGATCGCTTGGAAAGAGACCCTCTAAGTGTTTACACTGTAATTTATATAATTATATTTTGGCGGGAGAAGAGCTGTTCTCTTTGATTGGCTAATGTCGATACCCAAACAAATATTAACACGCTGGCCCAMGTGGGGAACCTTATTATTGACTACACGCTTACTGGGTAAGTGAATCATTGTAATAACCAGTAAAAAATATGCTGCATGGGTCTATTTTTAATCATATTGCGAGAATAATATACTGTTATCCATTACCGAACATAAATGTATAAGCGATATGCATACCGCACGAAAGAAAGCAAGTTATCGCCGTGTATACCTCCCTGACAGTCTAAATTAGGGGAGACCCCTAATTTAGATCAATTTAGACTGTCAGGGAGGTATTGATAGCAAATCTAAAGCACATGTTTACGCGCGCTAACATGATAGGTTACATTAAGAAGACTTGATTCTTACTTGTTGGGTTGGTTGTTGCCTTCGTACCTTCTCTACTATATATTTGAATTCAACTCATCTTATTTAGCAATCTTTTGGTGAAGTAGTAGTGTTGTAAAACTGGCTGAAATGGCACATTTAAGCACAGTCTTTCACAAGGCGAGTGGCACACTTGCCATGAGTGAAATGCAACATGAACCTCRKCCATTGACGAATGCTAAACAAAGACGGCTTTCTCGTCCAAATACCATCGAAGAAATACGAGTTAAAAGACGAAAAAGAAAGCAAAAAAAGCGCAAGGAAGACAAACAGATGTCTAAGAAAGCGAAGAGGATGATGAAAGCACGAAAGCTGGAGTTGCAAAAGGAAAAAATTAATAAGGAATTAGAAGAGAAAGCTTTGTATGGCAAAGAGCAACGAAAGAGAGCATTATATTTTTGGAAAAAATGGCGGGAAGAGCGACGATTGGATAATAACGAATGCATGTGAGTCTCTTTTCCCTAGTATTACGTATTTTTATTTATTAAAGCAAAGTATTTTCTACATAAAGTTAGATTATTTAGGATAGAGAGCCTGCATGGTCATGATTCATGACTTCATGTTAGGGGCTTTTTTATTGTTTACAGGGAARGGGGATCAATTTTATTCACGGAAAAAGGAAAACCAAAATGTTTTTTGTGCAGACTATTCAACTACATATATATGAAATAATGTAGTGTCCCCCTACCCTATAATAATTACCCCTTGGTGCGCGACCTTCAGAGTTCGAGGTACACGGTTGGATCCTTAGAATCTCCACATCTGTTTCGACTTCTCTCTAATCCGTGTAGCTTCAGCTTTAAATACTCTTAAAACAGAGCACTGATGGAGAGAGGGGGTAAAGTGCGCACCGTCGGCTTCCATTGATAGCAGGTGAATTTCAACTGAAGGAACTACTGACGTTAAATATAGGTACTTTACCTTTTACCTTGGACACGGATAATATTATAAAGTAGCCAAGTTTCCATTTGATGTAAATAAGTTTATGAGTTTATGAGTTTTGGAGAAGGTTAGTGATGCTAAAAAGTACACCCTCTTAACAAATGAGCAAGAAAAATACAGATTATACCACAAGCATATTGCACCAGAGGTAGTAAGGGGATTTCAYCCTCAATCTACAGCAAGTGATGTATATGCTTTTGGACTTGTGATATCACTAGTGTGCCACTATACCAAGTATGAGGACTTGAGACTTCTAGCAGTGCAGTGTATTCATGGTACCCCACATAAAAGACCAGGGATACAAAATATAATTTCAAAGCTTTTTTCATTTTTTAATAATTAAATAATTATTATATACTAG